TCGCCATCGCGTGGGCATTCGTTGCACCTTGGTTGCGGCGCCCTTGCTCCAAGCTGCGCCTGCCGTTCGGTCCTGTCAGCAGGCTGGCTTCCAGATTAGGGGAACAGCAACCATAAGGAGGTTTCCTGAGCGGTGCAGGGACGCACTGGCGCTGAACTGCCGGCGTCGCCCACGCACGCGTCCAGCCTGAAGCACTGGAGCGGCCGGAGCGACGCTCCCAAGTGACGTGTTTGAGGCTCATGCGGGGAGCCAGCTGCGTCCGGCAGGGTGCCCAACCCGCACCGGCGTAGATCAAAGTAGCCGGGAGAGCAGCAGAAAAAGTAGCAACGATCAAGGCGAGCTCGGGCAAACGCTGCAAGAACTGCTGGCGAGCTCTCGCGTGGACCCTGCTCTCCGCAAACAAAAGCTGTGCAAACGCAGTAGCTGGCCTCCGCGCAAACCGCCAGCGACGCCCATCTGCTCAGGGCCTGTCGGACTGAGTCCTGATCCAATGCCCACCAGCTGGAAAGGGCGAGGTCCGCTTTGGACAAAAAGGACACAGCGGGCCGCCGCGTGGGGCGGCGGCGCCTGGACGACGTGAGCCGGCTGACGGAGGCCGTGCACCGCTAGATCTCGCAGCTGCGGCACGCGCGCTTTGCGCCGGGGCGAACAGGCGGGGGAAGAAGTTGCCGCGCAATAACCGGTGTAACATGGGTTCAACCAGCAAGCATTTTCACCATGCGCGCGCCAAAGTGCGTCGGCGGTGCTGAAAGTGGCAGACGCTTCAGCCCAGACGGTGATCTTTGTTCAGCGGCTATCACGGGTGCGTGCGCGCTCTCCGCTGCCTCCGAGTTCCGCGGCACCCGGCGCTGAGTCCCAATGAGGCAAACGCTGTCACATGGCCCCATGCCAGGTGAGCTGTTGGTTGGCACCGCCGAGTCTCTTCAGAACCTGAGGCCCCTGCTGGGCCCGCGCCTCTTCCAGTTCCCGGTAGTGCTTTAGCAGCAGCGGCCGCTGGTCGAAGCCTGCGTCCCGTTGCGGGGCTCGATGGACATCATTCCGCCTTGCATACCAGCAGGCTTGCGCCTGTGGTCAGGCGATCGTGGGCGGACTGCGGCTCCAGCAGCTTCGGGCTCCACCTGGGGTGCTGCCTTTGGCTTGGGCGCGCGCTTCGGGGCTGCTGGCTCGGTGGATAGAAAATTTCAAGAGGTGTGCTCTGATATGCAAAAAAAGCCCGAAAAAGGTGCATGGTGCGGCGACATGGTACGCCGCGAGGTGCAGCGCGGGGTGCGGGGATACGGTAGGCCTTGTGGTGCAAGGTGCGGCGCGGGGGCGCAGAAACGTGGTACGCCTTATGGTGCGGCGCGGTGCAGCCTGTACCCGTACCATTAGCGGCTGAAATTCCAGAATTAGAAGCAAATTATGCCGCCAATTCTCAAATTCAGCCGCTAATTCGGTACGGGCACCCGCGCCGCGCGGCGTGCCCTTCGCCCGTACCGAATGAGCGGCAGAATTTCCTGAATTAGCGGCAGACATTCTTTGAATTTCGGCAGCTAACTCGGTACGGGTACTGGTGCGGCGCGGCGTACCCTGTACCTGCACCGAACTAGCGCAAAATTTCCCAAATTAGCGGCAGAATCTGCCGCTAATTCCGGCCGCGCGCCGTACTACGCACCGCACCAAAAACTGCACCGCGCGCCGCACTCTGCCTCGCAACAACTCTCGCACGCGCACCGCGCCGCACACCGCACCCAAATCTCGTACCCGTACCGAGCCGTGCTCGTACCTTGACATGTGCCCCTCATCAGAAACAATGCGTTTCACCTTTCTTGAAACTACCTAGCTCGGTGGGCAGGTCCGGCTTGGGTTTATTCTTGCTGCCTGGAGGCCTGCCGCGCCCCTTTGGCGCCGCTGCCTCCGCCGCGCCCCCTGCAGCCTTTTTTGCGGCGCCGCTTGCGGTTCGGTCGGCTCGGTCGGCTCGGGCTCCATCGTATTGTTGTTATACGTGGTCGAGATATAAGACGCCTGCAGGTGCTCGGGGACGTACACTCCTGCTGTCCTTTCTGGGTTGCTGCCTCGCGTGTAGGGTTTGGAAGCCGCATTTGTATGATCCCACCAGCCAGAAGCGTGACCACGTGTTGTCCGAGTGCCCCACGGGCTTGTTGCGGGTGGGGCCCTTGTTTGCTGGCCGGCGCGCCGCGCAACAGGGGACCCGCAATGGACTCCGCCTCTGGGCGTCAGCTCTTGTCTCTACTTGCGTATGTCCCCAAACACATCTGTGCGCCGACAAGGAACGCTTGCGTTTTTTTGACGGTGACCACGCTTGTGCGCCAACGTAGAACATTATCGTGAGCCGACGTGGGCACGCTTGTGCGCCAACAGCGAACATTTTCTGCACCGACCGTGCACATTTGTGCGCGAACAAGGAGCACTCTTGAGCGCCAACGGTGAGCACGCGGCCAGAGTGTTGCGCGCGCGGCGGTCATCCAGCCGATCGACTTGCATGTTCAGGTCTGCCCGCCAGGTGTTGGCTGTGACTCGGGCACCTGCCAGCACACCTCCCTGCACACGGCAGCTGCCAGGCCGGCAGACGGTCGCAAGGGAAGCTGGGCGCTGCGACTTCGCCTGTGCGCAAGAAGGGCCTCCATGAACTGCGGACTGCTGCATTGCTTTTTTTTTTCTTTTTTGGGCGATCCCCACATGCAAGAAATCTGTACACTTGTACCACGGCGGTTTTTGGTTGTTTCAGTGGGCTGGGCGTCGGCTGGCAGACGGGGGTCCGTCTCCGCGACCTCGCAGGCAGGTTCCAACGTTCCCTTGCACGCTGCTCGCCGCAGCCAGGAACATGCTTGGAACCTTGTGGGAAGCCGCGGGCCCCTTGAGGTTGTTGCCTGGCGAGCTCGCTCAACGTCGAAAATAGTCAAAGCTTCTCGTCGGGTAACGGCAAACTCCCGCGCGCGGACCGTAGAAGCTGGAACCACACTGATGGCCTCCAACTCCGAGGGAATCTACAGCAGTACCGATAAACGTCGGCGCTCCTCCCCTCCTCCCCCTCCAGAGTACCCCCCGGGAGGCGCCCCTCCGCCTCCAGTTGGAGGTCCTTGTCCTCCAGCACCCGCTTCTCACTGCCGCGGAACTTGCGCCTGGCATGAAGCTACTTGGGAGGCGCTCACCGACCCCGAGCGTCGACCCCAAGCCGCGGGACGGTGTTCATTTTTTCTCCATGTCGCTTTGCAAACAGGCGCTGGCACAGACGCTCTGGGGCTCAGCTCGGCTGCGCGGGGTTTTTCCCGCGGCTTACTGGTCATACAGGCACATCGTGCCGGTTTCGGGCTGTTGCCATCTTCACAGCTTCTGGCCCAGGAAGCTGAGCGCCGCTCCCATGATGCGCCTACCGTTTACCACGCTGACGTGCGCTGCGGCGCCGGATGCGGCTGCCCCTGCCCATTGCTCCCAACCGGTGTGGCGGCGAAGGGCCCGGCGGGTGCGGGTTGCGCGTCCGAAGGTCAGGTGGCGCCCAGCACTGGCTCGCCCACGCCACTGGCGTTCTGGTCATGCAAGGCGTTTCCCCTTGGGGGCAGGCGCTGTGCTGACTCGCTCGGTGCTCCTCATCCCCGGCGGAGCGCCCAGGGGCCATAGCGCCCCCTGGTGATGGCGCCCTGGGGCTTGTCCGGGACCTTGCGCGGCGTCGAAGCTTACGGCAGTGCAGCAGGCCGTTGGGTCCTGGGCCGCGCGTTGCTGGCGCCGTCACAGTGCCCCAGCTTGCACGAGCCGCCGCTTGAGCGCGTGCACTGCCCTGTTGCAGAAGCTGGCGTGGACCGATTGTCCTGCGCGGCTGAATCGCTAGCGCGCGGGGCGCTTGTGCCGACGTTTCGCGCTTATTGTTTCACCGCAAGGCCAGCTGCAGGAAAAAACAAAACACGTGGCTGTTGATGATGTTTTTGGATTGCTTTCAACCATTCTGCGAGTTTTCTTGCATGAGTGAATGCGGCGTATATAGTTCATTTTGGGCATTTCCGGCTCGTTACATTCTTTCTGAGGTTGCGTTGAACTGGATCATGATTCGGTTCCGTTGTTCGCTCTTCCTGGGTTATGTTTGATTTGCTTGCTTGGTTGAGGCTTCCGTCTCCCGGCTAAGCTTCGATTTTTTGGAGCCTGTTGTTGGTTCCGTGTTGTTGTCCTGTTTTGTTTCCTGGTTTGGGTGCCTTGCCCAAAACGGTACTTTCTTCGGTGATTCTCCTTGAGTCACTGCTTGAGTGTGCCGTGTGTTAATTCGCGCGTGTTTTTTGATTGCCTCGATGGCGCATCTATTTCAGATGTACCAGTCTGTGCTGACCTCTGTTTCCTTGTTTTTGGTTTCGCTACAAGTTAGCTGCACTTGGCGGGCAAGAGGTGGCACCTATGGTTGCCACTCCATCCCGGCATCGTAGCTGATTCCGCACGTTCAACCCCCCAAAAAAACAACACACACACACACACATGCCTGCCACATGCTGAATAAGCACTCCTGTCGTACCGCAGGTCCACCGAGTAGGCCCATCGGGTAACCACATGCGCAACCACTTGCAAGCTCATGCTCTCCAGCGGGCCTCGCCATCACCTTGCTATCGGGTAGTTGTACCACTGGAGATCGGCACTTGAGGCACAAAGGAACGCCTCAAACAAGGACACGGCCCGTCGCTTTGCCGGGCATCGGGCTGCGGCGTCACGAGCAGCGCAACAAAAACGGTTGAGCGTGCGTGCGCACACACGGTGCAAGTTTGAACTGCTGATCTTTGTTTGCAGGTGGTATATTTCATTTTGACGCTACTGCAGATGCGAGGAGCTCGAACATGGCTTCAACTGCCACAGCTTCGGGGACTTTTTGGATCGTTGTTCCCGACCATGTTCACCAGTGTTCATTAATCCGCTGTCGTCCCCGCGGACCTGTAGCTCTGTGTGACTTGCAAAAGGTTCCCTTTGCTGCAAACAGACAGCTGGGTGAAGAGTGGCATTTGTATGAGTCACATGCATTTTTGATTGATTACGCATGCAGCGCTCGTATCCATGAATGGCCAGCCGGGCTTCACAGTGGAGCTTCTCAAAGCTCTTGAGCGAGGATGGTCTGTTGCACAACTTGGTTGTGTTTCCACGAGCGATCAGGAATTGAACAGCTTAGAATTGTGGGTTTCCTTTTGTGTATTTCTTTTTGAGAGCCACCTTTGAAAGCCAAAAGCAAACCAAACTTGCCCTTCGCAAACTTGTGTGCCTGTCCTGCAGGAGACCTGAGCTTGGTGCAGACCGAGCTCGTCGCATGGTCTCATCAGCATGTTAGGTTTAAAATCAATGCTCAATTTAAAAGAGAATGGAGAACTCACTAAACGCACGCATGTTTCATCAATGTGTGTTTCGACGGTGGCTCATTGCTGATCAACCCATGTTACGCTCGTTTCCCTTTGATGGGTGTGTCAGATCCATTGCGCGGGGCATGCGAACAGGCTTGTAGATTTGGCAGCCTAGGCGAAGGGTGCAGATGTGCCTGGAGGAAACCAGGATGGCTGCTCCCCGCTCATGAGGGCTGCGCGGCATGGGCATTTGCCCATTGTGGAGGCGTTGGTGTCCGCCTCTGCTGATATACATGCAGAGGATGTGGATGGCGAAACAGCCCTTACCTGGGCTGCTTGGGGTTGTCATTTGGACGTGGTGCGCTTCTTCGAGGAGCATGGCGCAGACATGGACCACGCGCGCAGAAGCGGCTGCACGGCTTTGATGCACGTGGCTCACTGTGGCGACCTGCGCTTGGCCAAGCTGCTGCTGCCAAAGGCCCGTGTGAATCGGCAAAACAAGCTGGGGCTTACTCCACTGATGTGGGCATCCCGCGGGGGCCATTTGCCCATGGTGGAGCTGTTGCATTCTGCTCGAGCAGATTTGGATGCTGCGGATGGAGAGAGTCGCACTGCTTTGGCTTGGGCAGCAATGCGAGGGCATGGCCAAGTTGTGAGCTTTTTGACAGATCAGCAAGCCCTGCTGAATCATCAGGACCAGAAAGGTGAAACTGCGCTTGTGAAAGCTGCCAAACACCACCAAAGCTCTGTAGTGAGATTGCTGCTGGACAAGCGTGCTGACCCGAGCATCCAGCGATCAGATGGAAAAACGGCGTCCAGCGTGGCGCGCCTCCCGGATGTGAAGCAACAGCTGCAGGCAGCAGAACGGAGGCTGGCACAGGTGGCACCTGTGGCAGTGCCTCAAGGTCTTCGCAAGGTACCTTCCAGTGTTCTCTGGAGTCGGGGGAAGATGGAGATAGAGACGTTTGCATGATTTAGTGTTGCCCGGGATGTTGTGTGAAGAAGGTTTACCCATGATTTGCCAAAGTGACTGCATGCTTCGGTGGGGAGATCTTGTCCTTGACAGCGACAGCTGAGGATCCTGGAAACGCTTCGCAAGGAAGAACCGCCAGATGTCTTGCTCCCAGAGAAGTTCCGAGGCGAAGAAGAATATCTCTTGGTGGCATCGTAGACATTGCCCGCGCAAAAAGGCCGAGGGCTTTGCTTTCTGACGTTCTGACCGGAGCATCACGTGAAAATGTTGGCTTGCTCCAAATTTGTATTTGGCTGGACAGTTGTCAGTGGTTTGCATTTTCAAGCGCAACTTGACAGCAGTCAAGCAGCAGCGTGTGTTTGTGTCAAAAAGGCAACCAGGGCCATGCAAGCTTTACATCTGCTGTCTGCAGGTATGTGTGGAAAAGAATGATCACAATCATGGCTATGTCATTTTGCCCATTGAATTTGATGCACAGCACTCACCGGTTCCCAACAGTTGTCAACTACAACTTGTCACCGTCATGAGTTATAAGTTTGTAACACCAGACGCGAAAGTCCGGCGCATGCCGGACTTGGGCCAACTGTGCTGGCAATTGCGAAGGCGCAGGGTGCTGGGTGTATGAGGGTCTTTTTCATTCCTTCTCCTGCTGCAAGACGATGGTGCAACCGTTCCCAGTTGTATTTGTGTAGTATAGTATAAGCTGCGAAGCAATTTGGGATGGCAGTGTTGATGCAGGCCCGCAATTGCAGACATTCTAAAGGCTTTGGTCTGTGGCAAGCTTTGCACAGCTCCAACTTGCAAGACGGAAGCTTCTGACAAGGCTTAGTATGTTTTAGGGAGGTCTTCGCACGAACATGTTGAGGGTTTCGCAAACAACTTTTGGGGGTGGTTACACTTTAAACCGCCCATCCTTCGCTCGCACTTTCAACTGTTTCACTATGGGCCCATTTTTTCCCTTTGTTTTTCCCGAAAGCATGGCGAAGGGTTCTTCCGCTGGGTTCACTTGAGTTGTTCTCATGAGAGTCATTACAAGGTGTCATTGCAAGGAATCAGCATCATGAAAGTCATTGCAAGGAGTCATTGCAAGGAGTCATTGCAAGGAATCATAATCATGAAAGTCATTGCAAGGAGTCATTGCAAGGAGTCATTGCAAGGAGTCATTGCAAGGAGTCATGGCAAGGAGTCATTGCAAGGAGTCATGGCTAGGAGTCATGGCAAGGAGTCATGGCAAGGAGTCATTGCAAGGAGTCATGGCTAGGAGTCATGGCTAGGAGTCATTGCAAGGAGTCATTGCAAGGAGTCATTGCAAGGAGTCATTGCAAGGAGTCATTGCAAGGAGTCATGGCAAGGAGTCATTGCAAGGAGTCATTGCAAGGAGTCATTGCAAGGAGTCATTGCAAGGAGTCATTGCAAGGTTTCATTGCAAGGATTCGGGTTTGCGCTGTGACTCTTAATTGCAAATTTGCACTTGACTCATGAACAGGCAACTGCACTTGTCTCCAAATGGTGCAACTTGGCTCCTTGCCACTAAACTTGGCTCTGCAATTTGCAACTTGCACTTTAATCCGTGCACTTGCGACTTGCAACTTGACTCCATGCTCTTGGCTCTTGCTAACTATGCAATTGTCTCATGGACTCCTATGACAATGACTCTTTGCAATGGCTCTCATGACTCCTTGCAATGACTCCTTGCAATGACTCCTTGCAATGGCTCCTTGCAATGACTCCTTGCAATGAATCCTTGCAATGACTCCTTGCCATGACTCCTTGCAATGACTCCTTGCAATGACTCCTTGCAATGACTCCTTGTCAAGTGCAAGTTGCAAGTGCAAGGAGTCAAGTGCAATTGACTTGCGAGGAGTTAAAATCTCTTCTTAGGGCGGCGGGGTAGTGCCGACGACACTACACGAAAATCGACCCTCTGCGGGGATCGGCGTGGTCGAGGTGCAAAAACCATGGTTTTTTGCGATTTCTAAAGTTCCCGCGCGACCCTCTGCGGGGATCGGCGTGGTCGAGGTGCAAAAACCCATGGTTTTTTGCGATTTCTGCGGTGCTCGCGCGACCCTCTGCGGGGATCGGCGTGGTCGAGGTGCAAAAACCCATGTTTTTTTTTGCGATTTCCAACATGCCCGCGCGACCCTCTGCGGGGATCGGCGTGGTCGAGGTGCAAAAACTCATGGTTTTTTGCGATTTCTAAAGTTCCCGCGCGACCCTCTGCGGGGATCGGCGTGGTCGAGGTGCAAAAACTCGAGGTTTTTTGCGATTTTTAACATGCTCGCGCGACCCTCTGCGGGGATCGGCGTGGTCGAGGTGCAAAAACCCATGGTTTTTTGCGATTTCTGCGGTGCTCGCGCGACCCTCTGCGGGGATCGGCGTGGTCGAGGTGCAAAAACCCATGGTTTTTTGCGATTTCTGCGGTGCCGCGCAACCCTCTGCGGGGATCGGCGTGGTCGAGGTGCAAAAACTCGAGGTTTTTTGCGATTTTTGTTGTTCGAACTGGTCCTCGGGAGTTGTCTCGTGGTTCGCGCGCCTGCTCTCGGAACCGGCGGGTCGCGGGTTCGATTCCTCCCTGGTCCGCGGGCGGGCGTCGCAAGATGCAAGTTGCATTTTAAAGCAACTTGCGCAGAGCAACTTGGGCAGAGCAAGTTGCACAGAGCAACTTGCGCAGACCAACTTGCACCGACCAGTTTGCGCAGAGCGCCTTGCCTAGAGCAACTTGCGCAGAGCAACTTGCGCAGAGCAAGGTGCTGTCTCGCGCTTGCTTCACGAATGCTTCGTGTAGGGAAAAAGAACGCATCCTGCAGCGTTGGGCCGACCTCGCTTGCGATGTTCTGCTTTCGGGCCAACCGTGGTCTAGTTTTTTTCTGGGGCTATACCCGTTGCCCTTTTCAAAACAGGGGGACATATCAGCAGAATATCAGCAGGACAGCAGAAAACCCGCGAGCCCGCAAACCCGCGAACCCGCAAACCCGCAAACCCGCGGAAAACCCGCAGAACACCTGCAGAAAACCAGTGCTTTTTGTTGTTGTTTGGCCCTGGACGGCGGCTCAGTTCCGCGGCTGCTGTGGAGGTGCGCGCAGAGCTGCTGCGGCGGAGCTGGCCGCAGGTGGGTTGGGCCGGAGGAAACGTGTTCGGTTGGGAAAATCCATGGTTGTCTTTGGGGGGGCTTAGTTTGCTTTTGGTGCGAGGTATGAAGGGGAGATGGTTGGTTGGTTGGTTGGTTGGTGGGTGGGTGGGTGGGTGGGTGGGTGGGTGGGTGGGTCGGTCGGTCGGTCGGTCGGTCGGTCGGTCGCTCGCTCGCTCGCTCGCTTGCTTGCTTGCTTGCTTGGTGCCGAACAGCCGTCGGGCTTGACAACGTGCAGGGGCATTCTGAAAAAGCGCGCGTTTCTTCCGAATCGAGAAGGGCAAACGGTTCATTGTTTTCGCAATGCTGCAGAGGTATGTCGAAGTCACTTTCCATTCGAAAAGGAGTAAAAGAAGGATTAAACAAAGATTGAATCATATGATCTTCATGAGTTTTTGGAGCATGGACAACAATCACCCAGAGCACAACCAAAGGCCCAAGCTGAAGGTAATGACGCACATGATGTGACGTGATCCAGGGGCGAGAACTAAGTCTGTTTTTCCTAATCACACTACGCAGCATGGTAAACAGCCAGTTGGGGTCTAGGGTCCGCAGGACATGAAATCAGTACAAGCATGCCTTCAGATGCCGAGGCGCCGCCAGAATGGATCGAGGAGGCAGAAGCGCAGGCAGGGGCAGGTTGATGGGTCCTTTGATTGCTTGATCGTGTGGTGGCGGAGGCTGACAGACTTGTGGCGTAGGGGGGCAGTCTTTGCCATGTGTCAATCACCATTGCGAAGAAGAAACTTGAAGAAGAATAACATCAACTCAAAGGGTCATTGGGCCATACTCTACAGTGTAATCAGGTGCCCCGAAATCGCAATGCCATAGGTTCCTATTCCTAGCCTGAACTGTTTACATACTTGCTTTTGGCTCAAGGCAAAAGTCCGTGGGCGGGGGCGGGTCGAATCCCTTAAGTGTTCCTTGTTCGCGGTTGCCAGAGCAGACACTGGAGTTTGTCACAGTTGCTTGCATGGATTGCACAACTGGGTTCAGGCGGCGATTTCTTTTGGTTATCAGCCGTATCGCAACGGCTTATTCCTTGCAGCTTGGGACAACTACTTGATTTTGAGTGAGCAGCTATACGAGCAGCACTTGATCTTATTGGGTGCAGTTCACGGGCTTTGAAGACGCGTGTGCTTGGCAGCTTGGGACGACTAGTTGATTTTGAGTGAACGCACTTGATCTCATTGGGCATAGTCGACGAGCTTTTGGGAATCTCCGATTTATATGCAATCGGAGCAGCAGCGCGACAAGCGTTTCCGAGCAGACGGGTTACCTAGGACGAGAGGCAAGAGAGCCGGGGGCCCTGATCGCCCATCTCAGCAGAAGGGCAGACGCCGGATTGAGCAACGACAGCTCCCTGGAGATCTACAGAATCTAGGAGGAGCTTTCGGGCATCGGCGCGAACTCCGGAATGATGCCGTTAAACTCAAGAGTGTGATGCCAATCAAGAGTAACAAGCGGCCCCTGCTCCGGTGTGATGCCCAAAAAATCCGAAGGCCCGTTAAATGGTCTCGCCAATTGCCTCACGTGTGTCGCTTTGCCTTGTGCTGTTACTTCAAGTCTCCTGTAATACGGCCTCTCGTCGAGAAAAAATGTCTGCTCCGGCTTCCAACTGCCCCGCAAGTAGTCCTGCGCACAACACTCAAGAAGATATGCTTCCTCCAAAGTTGGCGTCGATCGGTCCACCGCGATCTGCAAAGTTGGCCGTGAAGGAAACGAAGGCTCCGCTGGCTCTGTCTCGAAAGGTCAGGCAGTTATTGGAATCAGGCCTTTGCACCCTGCAGATTGTATCGTTTGTCGGGAGCCGAGTCGACTAGACAGGCGCACGCATCATCGGCTGTGTGGGACGTGCCCATTTCTTTCGTTTACTTGAAGTCCTGGCAGGACAGGCAGTATCCGAAACAAGTGGACACAAAGGCCGTTGCCGCATTGTCTGCAGGATCTCTGGTCTTGGTCGACGACTCCCCGCATATTCTCAGCGAGTTCACTGAGCGTTGGAAGCGATACTTGGGAGAGTCGAATCCGGTTTGGGCATACAGGACAAGGAGCCCGACGGATACAGCAACTTTTCTGGGCATCA